AAAAAAAAAATATATATATATATATATATATATATATATATATATATTCCTCTCTTTTTATTAGTTGTGGTGACTATCTGCAATCAATGTCATGTACGATATATACACTGCATGAAATATTTGGGACAATACGATTTTTAATAGAAATTAAAATTTTATTTAGCAAGAATGAATTAAAATTGCCCAAAAGTAACAGTAAGGACTTTTACAATGTTATATATATATATATTTAAATAAATGCAGTTTTTTTTTTAAACTTGCTATCAAATAAACTGTTTATAAAGAGAGAGAGAGAGAGAGAAATTTTGCTTGTTACTAGTATTTTATTTTAATTTTATTTTTTTACTTGTAGCCTAGTTAAAAAAATAAATAAATCAGCCTTGGTGAGCATAAGAGGCTTAGTTCAAAAATATAAACATAACAGTGAACTGTAAATGTAGGCTATACAGCTTAAATAACGTGTTTTGAGAAATAACAGACTTCTAATTTGACCTCAGATGTCTGGGAATATCGAGTCGTGTTTGACCCTCACTGACCCATTCAGACGATTTAGCAGCGGTATACATTTGACCTGTGAGCGTGTAACCTGATCCGTGCTCTCTCTCTCTCTCTCTCTCTCTCGCTCTCTCTCTCCCTCTCTCTCTCTCTCGCTCTCTCTCTCGCTCTCTCTCTCCCTCTCTCTCTCTCTCTGCGCGCGCGCGAGTGTTTAGTTTCGGTCTGTAGAGCTTCATTGGTGTTTAGTGTTTAGACATGAGAAAGGACGCTCAGTTGTAGCTTAGGAAACTTTATGTAACTTTAGTGAGTTTGAGAACTTGGCCGAAACTTTCTGAATATCTGAAGAGAAGAATGGAGCCGATAACAAAGTGGACAGCGACTCAGGTTGCGGACTGGATCAGAGGTAGGCACTTCGATAACTTGTTTCTCAGGTTTAAACCCCTTTAATATAACACATCGTTCTTTTAATTAGTTACATAAATGCACCATGATAACCATAGTTTGAAATTTTAAAATGAATTTTAATTCTTAAAATGAATATTTATTATTTATATATTGACGTGTTTATTGTAAAAACAATAGTAATTTTTGTTAGAAACTATGGTTACTATGGTAAATGTTTGTGAAGGGAACATCTACATCCCTAACCAAATACAGAAACTCGGTGTTTATTTATTCCTCCCTAAGCATGATCGAAACCGGGAAAGCTTCTGAAACTCTGACAGCCTGAAAAGTCTACTGAACTTCTGCCAAACAATTCATATCTGAAAATAAATATACGACAGATATATTTAAAGGGATAGTTCACCCAAAAATGAAAATTCTGTCATCATTTACTCACCCTGTATGAGTTGCTTTCTTATGTTGAACACAAAAGAAGATATTTTGAAGATCGCTGGTAATCAAACGGTGGTTGTAGGAAAAGTAATACTATGGAAGTCAATGGCAACCACCAACTGTTTGATTACCAGCGATCTTCAAAATATCTTCTTTTGTGTTCAACATAAGAAAGCAACTCATACAGGGTGAGTAAATGATGACAGAATTTTCATTTTTGGGTGAACTATCCCTTTAATATCAGGTTTTATTATTATTTTTAAACCAGCTGTTGTTTTGGTGATAAAACATACCAGTAGGCCTACATTTCTAATAGCAATAATAATAATAGACCAAAAAAGTGATACATTGAAGCAATGGAAATTTTTACTCCCAGATTATTATTCCACTGAAGAGTCAATAGTTTATTTGCATAAGCAAATTTCTTTGAGTAGGTTGGACATCTTGTGGTTGGTCATTTAAATTTGAAAGTTGTTTTCATGTTCAGCACTTAAAGTCTTTCGGTTTGTCATTTTATTTATACAGTGATCTCATTCTATAGCTACTGTACCGCTTCAATAGTAAAGGATGTTATACATCATTATGGGTCATTTTGGATATTGTTTTCCCATTCAGACTGCTTTGTATTTCCGCCTTATTGTTAGAGTTCTAGCAGATATGAAGTTTATCTTTAGAATTAGGATTGAAAGGCTGACGATGTCAGCGCATCAGATGTTATGAATGCCATTTATCTGTTAGACAAAATACTTCCATCTCTGGATAATTACCACATATTTGTTTGTCTTTGCAATTATTTGCGGCGTGTTTTTGTTGACTCAGTTGTACGCTTTCATACTTGCTCTCCATCTTGCTCCAATTGCCTGAAACAACACCATAAAAACTTTCACTTAGAGGAGACCTTGAGTAAATCATCAAGGTCCACCACAATATGAAATACCTATAATTCTGTGCTAACCAGAAACGACCGGCCATGCGATGTGAAAGACTTCTGAGATGGTTTGGGTCCAAGCCATTCACACACGTCTAAACAGAGCCAATGTTTCAACAGATGCATCTAATTATATACTGAGCCACCTTGAAAGTTTCAAACCTGCTGTTCAGACTCTGGGTAAAAGTTGGCCTTTCGTGCTAATGAAGGACTAGCGTATCTCTCCTGATGCCAGTTTGAGACAATAAAAGCTGTGTCAGACAATGACAGATGTGGTACCCTGGTCTCTAATATGTTCTGTATGTGTACTGATCTAGGATCAGCTCCCATTGTTAAACTGACTTGATGAAGACAGATACAGTATATCAGGCTATATGTTTAAAAATGATCAGCATTGCCTAATCACTGTAACCATTTCCTTGAACAAACATGTCACATTTGAAGTGAATTTTGAGTAAATATTGTGCAAAATTAAGGTTAATTTAATATAAAAATAGTTCATTTACATAGAAATCGAAGTTAATTCAATACTCTCCTACCTCTGCCATCTTATTTTATTACGTATTTAAGTGTAAGTGAACCAGCGGATCAGCAAACCTCACAGATCCAGGATTCAATCATGGCCTTGTGTTTACATTTGAATCCTGAGTCACTGATAGCAGCATTAGCCGTTACTGTGTGTTTACATGTTCTTATGCGGTCACGCTACACCAACCGTTCACACACACCAGCTTTTTGTCGCCAGGTCGGCAGGTCACTGATTATTGCAGCATGTTATGTATTTTATTAGCTATAAAAGCTATATGTGTTTGCTTTTGAAGCAATCTGCAGAAAATCTGTGGATAATTAGCAAAACGTGACTGCAGTTTCAATGACCATTAGACTTAGCAATACAAATATGCGAGTCAATATTGCACATACATCATCCAGTGCAATTCAAACAGACCAGGTGGAGAAATACGTTTGGCTGAAAATATGCCACATTGCCTGAAGTTGTTGATGTGATTATCTGTTATCAGCAGGAATCGTGCAGTAACACGCCCGCATATTTCAGCAGACTGACACACTTCACTCAATACAGTAGACATGTTTCCCTTTTAGTGATCAAATCGCTTCTCTACATCCTGGCCACGTCACTGCTTTTCTGACATCATCACTGTGCCAGAGACTCATCGTTGTGCTGTAGGTACTTTTGGGACTCGTCTGCGAATCGTTGTCACACATGAGTTGCGTGACTGCGGTTGGACTGTTTGTATATCAGGCGGAGACAACAGTTTCGTCTTTGTTAGTAACGTTGACTCTGAGTCATACACACACGCAGACACAAACACACTTTAGCACCGCCCCGCCACCAGAAGAGAGGATAGAGGTGACAGTTGTCTATCTATCTATCTATCTATCTATCTATCTATCTATCTATCTATCTATCTA